CACCCAGTAAACATCACCGTAACAGGTAGCATCGCGATTCACCTTTCACAACCATTCCTTACAATTTCTCATGGCCTTAACCCATCAAAACAACAAAGTACCTATTGTGTAAAGGTGGTTGTGCGGATGTGATACTTGTATTGACAGGCTGATACCATATACTATAATGTGCAACTGGATTTCACAGGCATGATGGCGTTCTCATCCTCCTTCTTCACTCCCGACCTGGCGGCCGCCGGCGGCCAACCACAGCAGGAGTTACCATCAATCAAAAAGGAACCACTTGCGGAAGGAGAAAGCCAAACGGTCGAGCAAAGGCATTCTTCACCCGCCATTCCTCACTCTGAACAAAGCCAAGCTACACCGAGCGTTAATGGGATCGATCAAGAAATAGGCGAAGACACGCTTATGGGAAACACAACCAACATGACTCCCAAGACTACCGCTCCCAAAAAGAAGAAGGGAACTGCTGCCGCCGTCAAGGCTCCAAAACGCGGCCGTCCTGGCGCTGGCGCAAAGAAGGGCAGGGGTGGCGGCCCCAAGAAGGCTGGGAAGGATGCTTCAGGAAAGCAGGGCGGCGGCGCTGAGACGGCAGATGGCGGGAACTCGAGCGAATCCGACAGCGGGCCCTACTGCCTCTGCCGCGGGCCCGATGACCACCGCTTCATGATAGCCTGCGATCGATGCGAGGACTGGTTCCACGGCGAATGCATCGGCATGGACAAGCACACGGGCGAGAAGCTAGTTCAGAAGTACATATGCCCCAACTGCACCGATGGCGGCCGCTATGCCACCCACTACAAGAAGATGTGCTCGCTTTCCGACTGCGTCGAGCCCGCCCGTATCTACGACTCGGTCCATCCCAGCATCTTTTGCTCGCCCGAGCATTGCCAGGCCTGGTGGGAACAGCTCATTGCGACCCTCCCGCGGGACAAAACCACATCCGCGCCCGACCACCTCACTCAAGAACAGCTCATGGGCTTGCTCGATGCCCCCAGCACGCCGCCCCAACCAGAAAATGGTGGAGACACAGACCTGCCCGCCCCCAGCCCCTGGCACCTCGGCAAGGCCCCGTTTTCTACCCCGACCAACTTTTGGGACCTCCCGGCGTCATCACGCGCCCTCACGCCCGAGGAGCAAGAGCTGCTCACGGCATCGGCTGCGGAGCGCTACCAGCTCGGCGAGGAGATTGTCCTCTGCAAAAAGATGCTGCAGCTGATCGATCTGGCGCTGAAGCAGCGGGAGGCGGCCATCGCGGCGGGCAAGGGCACGGCCAAGGACCTCTGCGGCTACGACACGCGCCTTGATACCGTCTCGGCAACTCACCAGTTTTCGCTGTTCTTGCAGACCCCTCAAGGCGAAGCCATCTTCTAAGACAGGCCGTCTAGACCCGGACTTTCCCACTCCCGCCACCACCACAAACGGCACAAATGGCTACCACAGCCACCACAAACGGTACAACAACCACCACCCCCAACCCCCCAACAAACCCAACCCTCCTCCATCCCCCAACCCCATAACCACCGACCCGGACTTCCCGCACATGTGCCCCAAGAAAGAAGTGCAAGCCGCACAACGGCTGGAGCGGGGTGCTAGCCAAGAGCGTGCGGCACGACATGAAGGAGCTGGCGGCGCAGGCCAAGGAGAAGCTGGACGCGGAGCAGCGCGTGCGGGACGGGGCGGCGGGGAGGTTTAGAAGACGGGTCGGGGAGGGGAATGGGGTTGTTTTGCTTGCTTAATGGGGCTTTTGGAAGGGAGGTCAATTGGTTGGTTGAAGTGGATGTTTTTGGTGGTGGTGTGGGTGGGTGGGCGATGTTGATGGGATGGGGTTGGGAGAGGTGGTGTGGGGTGGATGGTGGTTAGGGTTTGTTATCCTGGTGGGTGATCATGTGGGAATGGAACGGGGTGGATGTGGTATGTGGTGGAGGATATGGAATAGATGCTATAAGACGGGATGGGTGAAAGGGATTGATGGCTTTAAGATGTGATGGGATAGGTTGACTCGGTAAGAGGTGGGTTATGGCTGCTCGTAATAATCTGGGGACAGGCAGTTGCATTAACGCAAGTGAAGGCTATGTATATATACACATTTGAATCCTGGCAGTTGAGAATTGAGACATTTGAGAGTCCATCTCGCGTTCGCGTAGTCCGTCGTGAGCAGTTAGTCCCGTCGAGAGCCTTCTCGTTGAAATCATGTTTATTCGAAGTCTATATGATACAGGAATCCTCAAAACCCCCCATCTTGTCCCGGCCCTCCATAAAGTCACTGGAGATGACCTGCAAGGGCACAGACAGATGACTTCCCAACAAGACAAGCCCGATACGAGCCAACCAAATCGAACGAATCAAAATAGGGTATAAGAAACAACAAACACCAAAACTCATAACAGCCTCGTAACGTGACGTAAGTCGTGACCTGTGTAAACAGAAAGACAGACAAAACAAAAGGCCACCTCCGGCCGGCGCAAGGGTGGCCAATGCCCAATGCCACCCGTCCAAAAAACCCAAACCGGAGAGTTATTAAAATCGATCAATCGCAGCCGCGAGGCTAGTTTTCCGTCTTGTTTCGGCCGCGAGGCCCACCCAGTCTTGCCGAGACATTGTCCAAGTTGAGTGTAAGCAGCCCAACCTGCCGCCGATCATTATATACTCACGCGCTCGTTGCATCGTCCCGAGTTTTGGTTCCTCGACCGTGATGGTCCTGTTGATTCCCGCCGAGGATGAACCCGCCAGCTCGTGATTTTGCCCGCCTAGGTGATGTATTCCATTCACATATCCTCCCGTTCTGTACCAATGTCGGTCGCGTGACCGGTATGTTCTGTTCTTCTAATGCGGACCAAGGTCGTGTGTATTTCTCATTCGCATGGCTGTATCAGCCACGGCAGTTCGTTCGCATCAACCACGGCGTTTCCCAGAGCTACTCGAATGCCCATGGCTCCGGCGCGACGATTGGCCGTGTCGCCTCGATGAGCTGCCACCGCCGGCGCGTTCCAGCTCGCGCTCCAGCTCTTCGGCCCTCTGGCGAAAGCCCCGGACGATCTCGCGAATTCCGGCGATACGGTCGAAGTCCAGCTCGAGCTCGTCGATCTGCGCCATGATTTCGTGGTAGCGTGCAATCTCGGCGTCGGCATTGTCGATGAGGTTGCCGGCGCGGTCGTAGACGCTGAGCGTCACGATTTGGGACTGCTCCATCAGGTACTCGAGCCGCTCCTGGATCGACTGCATGACCCGGTCAAAATGGCGGCCGAGAGCACTGAGCGACGAACTGTCCATCATCAGCATCCCCTGGGACGAAGCGCGGCTCGCGGCGCGGGATGACGTCGAGCCCGCGCCCCCGGCCGCCGCCACTGCTTGCTGTCCATGCCGCAGGAGCTCGATTTGGTCTTCTGTCAGCCCTAGATGTGTGTCTGGCACGGCATTGGGATCCGCAGCGGGTTGTTGCGACGACATGGTGGCTGTCACACCAAGAGCTGAGGCTCCGATCCCGGCTGGCTGCTAGTACTGTCGTGTAGCCTCGCGGTTGCCGCCCTCGGCCCGGATCTACTTGCTATGCTGCCGATCGACGCAGGAGGAGCGCTAGCGGAAGTCCGGATGGTCGCCCGAAAGCCGCCGGGCCTGCCCTGCGAAGACCAACCCAAGTTTACTCTCCTTGTTAAAGTGTACTTTCAGCGCCTCCGGCGCGCCGCTGGGGTTTGTATTCGCGGGATGGTTAACCTTAATGTCTCCCGGCCAGGGGAACGGCGCACCGTGTTACGGCAGTGGGAGAACAAGGTTGCGGGGTATGCGGTGGCTTCGCTTCAAGACCCAGGTCCCCGGTTGCTGGCGGGTGTGAATGCGACACCGATAGCTCGAGCGTCGGCGACGTCTTGGGCTCGTTCGGCGTCATCGTTCCGCAGGCAGTGTCGGTCACTGCATCGATGCCATAACAGCTTGGCCGACAGGCGAGTGCAACGGTCTTGTGCGAGGTGTTAGGAAACGGCAGCAGCGCTTCGGACGAGTGTCGAGAAGCAGGGGAGAGTTGCGGGCCGGATGCGAAAAGCGATCGCAGCGATGCGTGGCCGTCCCAATATCCTTTCCTCCTCTTGTGGTACACGCCCAACGAAGTTACCAGACCCGGCCGTCTCGTTCATGTGTTGCGCCGCGCCCAGCCCACCGTCCGTAACTTGGCGAAATAGTGCCCTCGTATATATATTTCCGTTGTTCTATGTCGGGTATGGCTCCTCAACCTCTCCGAGACATTCGCGGCGGCGTTTTCGACTCCTGGTTCAAGATCGGAGCTAAAGAGTTTTGGTTGGGTTTAAATTATACCGCCTTTCCCCACGCGGGATACACATCAGGTGACGGTCAGATGTTGGACCACACTAATTTGGGGTTGCGTCCGAAGGGAATCCAAGCCGATCAACTCGTGCAAATTGCGTGACGTGCGTCTCAGAGCCGTGTCGTGAAAACTCGGTCAAAAGCGTCGATAGCGAGCAAGTGGTTTCGGAATTCGAGCGGTTGCGACTAGGGTTTAGAGAATGCAGGTGATGCCGTTGAATTGGTGACCAATGGTTTTTGTCTCCCAAGTGACCGACCGCACGACGATTGGCGTTGATCATGGAAGTTGTCGAGTTTCCCGTCGGCTGCAGAATCCCATCTGGGCCCCTTGCTGGACACCACGAGACCCCACAGGGACAGAAGCTTTGACATTGACAGGGGTCTGGATCGGGGTGAGTGAGACGAGACATTGGGTTTCGTGATGCAAAGAATCATGGCTTAACAGCGAAAGCAATGTCCGGAGGTCTCGGGTGACGTAGATTAGCCTGGAATGCGCCTCAATTTTCTTCACCCGCAGCGGTCGCGCAGATGCGGCCACTCGGCCTTTGAGGCGGCCTGGATTTGTCCCCGACTCTCTGGAACGACGAGGGATCCCGGTTCGTGGCGCCGCAGCCGCAGTGCATGGACGAGCGACGTCCAACAAGGCCGGGACGAGTTGCCAGCGCAAGCTTCTAGGTACAATAGGTGCACCTATCCACCGCTGTATTCTCTCGCGGTCTTCAACCGACAGCCTTGGTGGCCTACCGGTGCCTATCAGCACGATTTCAAGATCATTGGAGGGTGAATTATTCGGCCCGTTCGTTCTGTAGGTCCACTGGTGACACTGACACAGTATCCCAGTAATCTATCCGTAGGGCTGACCAATTGACCCTGGCGGCAGTTGGCGGATTTGGTTAGTGATATGGATGTTCTGGAGCGCACTGACACGGGCGAGAACCAGATTCAACCTTTGGTGCCTATCCCACAAAAGCGCTTATTGCAACTGTCTTAAAGTTGTCTTGGAGCTTCTTGGATTCGAACTTCTCAGCCCTCCACACGCGGCAGTGCAGGACGAAGAAGGTGCCCGCCACTGGAGACCGGAGACGCCCCTTCCGAGCACCAACTCGCCTAGCAGAGTCGTTCTTTTCTAGTTCTGTATCCCACATGCAGGTCCCGCACCGGACTCACCCGTCAACGAGCCGCTCTTTCCAGACGACTTGACTGCTGTAGGCAGATGTTCCCGGCTTGCAGGCGGTCCAATCACCCAAAACCACTACGCTCGGTCAGAAGGAACCCATTTGTATCCCAGATCTCACCCTTGCCTCACCGTTGAATGTCGGCTAGAAGTCTCTATCATGGAGCCGAGTTGGCGTGGCTGCGGCATCGATATCCCGTTATCCCGCATTCCCGACTCAACCCCCGCATCACCGCGAGTTACAGTTCCATCAATGAACGATCGTTGAATTGCGGGGAGATGACATGTATAAGTAGAGCTTTGAGCATGATCGCTCCCAGCAGTTGAGATAGGAGACTAGATCTGAGATTACTCCCGGTTTAAACTATGGTGTCTCTATCTGCACTGGCCATCTTTGGCTTTGCCCTTGTCTCGCGCGTGTCCGCAACTATCCTTCAGAATGGCCAAGTGAGAGAGACTAACTTCCCGGATACTCGCATTGACCGATCCGCACACTCGTTCAAGACGTACCCGCCCAACGCCCCCGAGATATCTTACAAGGGGCGGTGGGACTCACAACATGTCTCTTGGTGGTCGTGAGTGGACATCCGTTAAAGCAAGGAAACAATCCAAGGAGCTAACAATCATCAGAGCCCCCGGCATCAAGTTCGGCTACACCGGACAGACGGTCGCCGTCTCATTCGGGAACCTAACCGACAACGGCGTCCTGGTCGGCTACCGTATCGGAGGGCTCGACTGGACCTTCACCAACATTACCGCCGGAGCTACTCACCTGCTGGTGAGCCCGGAAACCCCAGGCTCAGGCGAGACCGGTCCCGTCAACCCCTGGACTTTTGAGATGCGGGTGACGAACTGGGCATACGGCGTGCAAATTGATGCCGTCCATGTGGCTGCTGGAGAAAAGCTGATCAAGATTCCCGACTTCGGCCGTCGGATCGAGGTGATTGGCGATAGTCTTGCCTCCGGCATGTACACGACCTACGAGGGCTTGTCAAGCTGGGGCTAGTATGTTCAATCCGGCTTGCTTCGACGGTGGTATGGTACTGACTGACATGGCGAAGTGGCCTCGGGGCCGGTCTGGGCGACACGGAGTTTGCGGTGACCGCTTATCCCGGAATCTGTGCGGCCGACCAGGACTGCTGGGGCAACCCTAAGGGACAGGTTCATCAGTGGTTTTACACCGCCGACACAAGTTATCGCGCCTCTGTGATTCATGGTGGTAAGTTGAGGTCTCCCGGTTTTTGTGACCACCTACGCTCACAGACAATGTAGACGACCCGGAACCGTGGGACTTCAAGAAGCACCCGGCCGCTGATATTGTGGTCATCAACATTGGCACAAATGACCACAACCAGGCAAACAACGTCTCAACCGAAGCCTACATTGATGCCTTGACCAAGATCATCCAGGGCGTCCACGGAAAGTATCCAAAGGCCCAAGTAATTGTCATGGTGAGCCTCCCCTACCAACTCCAAGAGGGCCAGAGATATTCTAACATGCCATTCTACAGTCCCTCTGGCTAGGATTCTACCAGTCCGGCAACACATACCTTCCCAACGCTCCCGACGGCTGGGTCAAGGAAATCTACCAGCTGATCAAGTGGTGCGCATACCCAACCCCCAACCCAACCCAACCTAACCCAACAACTCACCTCGCAACGCAACAACAGGTTCAACTCAGACGCCTACCTCCGCAACCCCACCATCTACGACGGCGTCACCAAGAAGACGTCCAAGACAGGGAAGAAGGCAAAGCCCTTCGTCCACTACTTCAACACGACGGGCATCATGCAGCACAACGACATCGGGCCGCAGTGGCACCCTACCGACGTGGGCGCCATCAAGGTGGCCAGCCATCTCCAGCAGTTTATCCGGATCAGGTTTGACTGGGACTTTTACGCTACGGGGCCAGAGTGAGTTTTGACTTGTTTTGCCCTTGTGTTCCTTTCAACCTCGCCAGTTGAGAGATGTGGAGGGAGGCTAACTGCGGCGTTAGGGTCTTTCATGAGACGCTGTACTGGAACGATGAGACTGATTATTGAGAAACCTTGGGTGGGTAAGAGGCTGAAAAATAGGACGACGACATGATAACGGGGAGGACATGATGAAGAGGAACACGCCTACACACGAATCAGTAATTATCCGTCACCACCATATGAGCAAATATTTACAAGGCCCAAGTCTCTGATAGTTAGGTAGCTCTGGCCAACCTCACAGCAAATAACTTACCTTGTATAAGCAACAAAAACTCAGGACTCTCTGCCCCCTTTTTCCCTTACAAGCCGACAGGGCGGCGATGGTGGCTGAGATTCGCTGAGCGAACCAGCCACGAACACAGCCAAAGCCTGCTTCATCGTTTCAACACCAGCACACCGTCAGTTACTCGACCCGTCTGTATTACCGACTCACCGGGCGGTAAAGATCAACGGCGAGCTCGGCAACGACGAGAGCCTTGCTTGACGCGGGTGTGCTGTGCTGTGTTAAGCGAGCGTTTTCACCAAGCCCGTTGTTAACGTGTTCCTGTGTGTGTTTGTGTTTCCCCCCTGAGTTACTCATGAGGTCGTGTCCCGTCCCCCGTCCCCCGTCCCCCGTCCCCCGTCCCCCGTCCCCCTTCCCCCGTTGCGGCTGACCGTTTCTCTCCTTCGTCCAACAGTCACGGCGATCTCAAGGCGGCTCACGACGCTTACCTCCGGCATCTGTGCAGTTACCCCTGGGATCAAGATCCCAGATGTTAACCATCCCCTCGGAGACGTGGCTTCACCTCCAGTCTGGATACGAACTCGCCATGGCGACCGACACCTGCGTATCGCAACAACTCAGCTCTCACCCGCCCGCACTTTTTGCCCTTTCTCGGCCCCAGGCGTAGCCCAAAGCAGTCTTATTTTCCGGCAACAGGGGGCAAGCAACAAACAACCCATGTTTACGTTTAAACACGGGGAGCGATCCGGCCGGCTGGTGATCTCTGCGGGTGAGCCTCGCTTCCAGCACCCGCGTCTGTCGCGTACCTTGCTTGCGAGGGCATGAGGCGAGGTTTGGCTGCTCGAAGCCCTGGTCCCAAAGGACCGAAGTACCTGTAACATGTCCAGACTCCCCCGGGGTCACCTTGGACGCCTAGCAGGGTTGAGGGCGGAAGGATGGCTCCCACGACGATCTTGACTCTTTTCCCCCCTGCCGGGTCGAGCAGGGGGGCCGGGAGGAACTCCGTTCGAGACGAATGCATCGCGGCAGGGGCCTGGGATTCCGGTACCGTCTAGACTCAGCGGTTCGCGCGATGATCGCGATTTTCGTCCCTGCCCGCCGGCAGGGGGCTCGCAAGTTGGGGGTGGCGGCCTTGCCGACGAGAACGTGGAGACCGTTGCGGTTGATCAGGAACCGCCGAGATTGTGGTGATCGCTGGTGGGTTTCTTCGGCTCTTATCTCATCCATGCCTGGTTTGGAAGCTCGAACCGAACTTTTTGTGGTTGCCTTCATGCGATTTACCCATGCATCTTTTTTGGCCATCCCCTCAACTTCCATGGTTACAGGTAGCCACAGTCAAGAGATCGATACACCGCTCCCGACGATCTGACCGATTGGCAACGATCCTGGGGGGATGCCTCGATTCCCTGAGCGCTGAATGGCACGATAGGGGACCCCCCGTATGGCAACAGAGGGGAGGATGGGCTCCAATCTCGTGACTCCTTTCTCTCGCGTGGAGCCACATCTTCGCTCTCGGGGTGTCTGGTGTTGCTGCCTCCAGCGATAGCATCAAAGTCGTCAAAATTACGTTCATGCGGACGGAGTTGGCCGTGTAAACGGCTAAACACTCCGCTTATACCCGCCGCTGCCGCTTGGACCCCCCTTTACCAGGGCTGCCCGACTCACCGTCTCGAGAGACTGGGTGACGAAGCAGAAAAAGTATAAGCCTTTGGCGAAGAGCGTCTCGGACATCGGCCTTCTGCATCAATCAAGCGGCCCGGGTGTGGTGTTTGCCGTGTCTGTCGTCGCTTGGCCATTTCTCGCGCGACAGTCCTGATTCAGGGTTAGCTATGGGCAGGCCCAGGAATTGTTTACCCAGCCCCTTACCTCGGCAGCTGGCCGACCCGGCGTGTCAAAAGCGGGCTTTGACACGGCGCGTCTGAAACGCCAACCCCGTCCCACAATCCGGCCGCCGAATGCTGAAGCCAAAAACCAGCATCCACATTCGGGGCGACGGAACTGTTTCCACCATTCTCTTTTGTTTGGCTTGTTGGTGCATGGCAAAAACGGGCACGAGGCTGGCAACCAGCCTTGCTGGAGGGCAAACCTCCCGGAGCCGGCGAATCGAATCTCGATCCGAGGCACCCCATCTGATCGGCGACGTGGGAAGATTGCTCGTGGCCATTCCCGGCGGGCACTAGGGATCCCCTCCCGGGCGCCGGGCGCGTCCCAATTTCATTTCCACCACACCTATTTTTACCGCGTATCACACAATGTGATGGCGGCATGTCGGCTGATCCCACGCTCCCATGCTGCCAAAAATCTCGCGGGGTCCTCCTCCTGCGCCAGCTGCCTTGGCGTGGTGTAGTGATGACCGGTTTGGGATGACAAGAAGGGAGGGCAAGCACGGGACACATGCGCGTCTGAGACATGCATGCAGAGACGAGATTGGGCTTGCGAGGTGATAACTAACGAGTGGTGCAAATTGGGGGGGGGGGGTTCCCCAAACCCGCCTCCAAGATCCTTAGCCGCTGACTCGTGAGGTCGGCGACTTTGGATTCGTCGGTCTGGCGTTCCAGTTGGTAGGGGTTCACAAGCGAAAGACCCGAGAACATGGGTACGGGAACGGGTGGTGGTGCGTGCTCCGTGCTTGTCATCGTTAAGTTTAGTTTAGCGCCATGATCTTCACGGGCCTTTCGGCGCCCACGCACAACGCCGTCGTTTCAGCCCTTGCTCTGACTCCCTGAGAGGCGTTGAAAGCGGGCGATCACGATGACGATCTTCCGGGGAAGAGCGAAGGATGCAGAAACCGAAGAGGGGTCTTTTGTTCAGCTCGAATTTCCATCACATTGCTGATTGCCTGCTTGAGAGCGTGCTCCGAACGCAATCAAACCACAGGAGCGAGTTCCTGAGTCGCCACAAACTGCGCGCCGGTATGTCCGCTCCACGAACCTCGGGCATGTCATCGGGGTTCCACTGCGATAATCTCTGATGTTGAAGTCGGCGGAAACGGCGGGCAAAGCAGCAGCAAAGAAAAATAGTTGCATCTTGGCAATGGTGGACTCTCAACCTTCCCTCCAATTCCTCAAGCGAGGCGCAATGATCCTCGCAGATCCCTGCATCTCTGGATGGAACGGCAGTTGGTACGGGACGACAAAACGTGGTGTGTGGATTGCTCGGTTTGACATGTGGCGGTCTCGTGTCATCCGAAGAGTCGAGTCGTGCCTTGCCCTGGCGGAGGACAGCACGGACGGGAGTGGGAATGACGGAATGGGGGGATGTGTGGATATGTCGCTGCTGATGTGTGACAGTGGCCCAAATCCCGTGTTTGTGGCGATCCGTGAAACGATAGATCTGGCGCATTGGGCAATGGGGCCGTCGTGGCGCCGTGGGGGACAACAGCTACACCAACACGACTGGCAACGCAGTCTAGCATGTTGGTCAGCAGCAGCAAGCTCCTAGTGAGTGAGTCGTCAGCCAGTATTGAAGAGGCCATGCAAGACGGGGCTGGCGCGTATCCCATTGGACTCATGGGTACCTGGTGGAGGGCTGTGGACGTGATAGGAATCCGAGTCGGGTTGCTGTGCGTCAAACGATGCGCAATCTTCCCATCGTGGCGCAAGGTAACAAGCCGGCAACGCTGGTCGGGATTCCGATGCTAGCAGCTTCGATGCTGCGGTCTCGAACCTGCTGCTGCTGTTTCCCACACATCCATGATCCTGGCTTGTTGGCATGTGGCATGGCATGGCACGAGCGCGACTCTCCATCTCAGATCCTCAAGCGCCTGTTTCTTGCCTCCTTGCCTTGCCTCGGGCCAGTTCGCAGGGGGTTCCAGGGTCCCAGCCCAACTCGCAAACCCATTCCTGATTTGCCAGCCTGTCTCGCCTGGTCTTTGCCGCGCCGCTCGCCCGTCGGGAGCTGGCCCGGACTGGCACGCTTTAGCTCCATGACATCAGCCACGCACCCACGAAAGCCCACGCAAAAGTGCTTGATTGCCCGCCACAATTCACCATACCATGTCTCGATGCAGGAAAGCGTTGCTAGCACGCGGCGCGCGGCGCGCTGATCGTTGATCGGCCTGATGCATGCTGCATTGATGCCAACCCCCCGACGAAAATCCCCTGCTGCCCTTCGCCAAACGGTTCCCCATTCAGAACGAGGAAGATGCGCAAGAGCTTGGCAGGACCGCCGACCCTCGTTACCTCGTTCGAGCCGCGAAAGTTGATCGACAATGATTGACCAAAAGTGTGGTGGGGACTATGCACGAACGAGGGCCGAGGATCGCCTTGCAGCAATGCGGAATTGGGCCAAGTAGCAGCCGAACATGGAACTCCAGAAAAAACCGAACACGGGAGAGAGACAAGGTGGAGCCCGACGAACGCACGCCAGAAGCGCGCTAGAACAACCAGCAAAAAAAAACAGTTGCCCGGCCCCCCGCTCCCCGATAGACTTGCTACCAAGCTGACGAAGCAAGCCTTTCGTCACGGGCTAACGAAAACCCCTCCCAACTGCTTTTCTTAGCGCAATGAGCCCGGCAAACCCCGCTGATGCGCGCAAGATAACAAAGCCAACCCAAGGAAAAAAAAGAGATGGAAGGGCGGTTTGATGCACGCCTTCGACCCACCACAACGGACATTGGGGTGGTTTTTGGCAGCATCGCGCGCAGATCCCCTACACCTGTCGTCACCACACCACCATTCCATCCCAGACGACCTGGTTACCTTACACAGTAAACCGCCTTCTTAGACAGCGTGTGCACGGTGCAACGGTTTTCATTCGAAGGTTGCGTTTTTACTTATTATTTTTATTTCATTTCATTTTGATTTTACCTTTCAGTCCAGTGCCGGGGAGCTGACGCAGAGATGATCTGCAAAAACCCACCGTTCTCGAGGGGGGAACACCTCGGTATCGAGAAGGGGATAGATAGGTGTCCCTTCCCAATAGTTAGGTTCCCCCATCCACAGATCAGGTCATTTTTCTTCAAGAGATTTTCTGTATGTCTCAATCAGAGCCCACCTCCGCTAACTAACTTCACCACAAACTAAACTAGCCACCTATGCTAGCTTCGGGCATGTGCGGGTTGGTTGCGTGTGCATGTATGTGTGTGTTGTCCATCTTTTTTTGTCTTTCCCTCCCGTCGAAGCCGCCGCCGCGCTGCACATAAGCGATTCTCCACTTTACTCCGGGTAACCCCCCGGTGATCTGCGATCATCCCTGCATCGTGGGGTATCCGGCCAGGGGTTCAGATCCGTTTCGGCCGGCGGCGCCGGGCTAACTTGAAGTTCGCAAGACCCGGGAACCCCCAAAAAGGCGGTCTGGCTGCGCAGTGCAGAACGGGAGTTGTAGTCGGTGACGGTGATGGGGGTAATGGGGAAGATGTGAATGCGCTGTGTGTCCAGTTCTTTTTGGGGCGGATTTTGTATTTTGGGGGAGCGAAGAATTCGGGCTGAGCTTGGCATGGGAATTTGGATAAGGTGATGGGGGTTTTTGAGTTTTGGTTAGTGAGTACGAAGTACAGGCCTGACCAGGGGCAACGGGACATTCGGGAAGCCGTCGCTTTCCACAGTACACGACATCACCACCCATGGTCCGATCTTTCTGTTGCCGAACCCGGCAATTTGGAAGCCTAGCAAACTTAAATTATCAGAAAGTGACAACCGTAGTAGTCTTCGTATTGTCTTGATTTTCTATTGTGCATGTTGGTAAAGTTCCTTCCGATCCCGACAAGTTCCGCAGTTTTGTTTTTGGCATGGCAAATGCTGTTTGAGATATGTTGTGTACTGTGTAATATGTACGACACCAACTGTGCAACATGTGCGTGTGTTATTCTCCGGCCCAAGTCGGGAAGACCCTGTGTTCTTGACGTTTCGAAACACGATCGCCGTGAGACACATGACACTCTGGCAGGGAACGCCGTGTTGTTACTTTATTGTCTTGACATTTTTATTCTGCTCATTTTCGCCGCCGTCTTGCGCATCATCCTCATCAGCGCCATCCCTGCATCCCCGGAGATTGTACATACAAACCGCCCAAGCGGGCGAGCCCCCCGAATCTATACACATTACGTTGCTCCAGTTAGAGTGAACGTTGGTCGGATACATCGTGTCGACAAAGGAAAGAGTGACAAAGGAAAATAAAGTCATCCAAACAAAACAAAAGAAAACAACGCCCGTGTAAATGCTTCCTCAGCCCAGACCAGAATACATATCCCTTGAGACCGGGTTCGCCGCCGCCTTCGCCATGCCGTGGGGTGATGAGAAATATCATCCTCCGAAGGGGCCTCCCCTGTCTGAATAACCCCTTTCGCCACCATACCCATAGTCGCACGTGAGGTCCTTGCCGAATCACCACGCCTCCGTTTTCCCCATGCGCCAAGCCGTGCAGATGATGGTCCATCCTTGAACTCCGCCTTGAGATAGATGATCGCCCGGAAGAAAAGAGATTAGAAACTAAAAAATACCGGTTGTCGTACTTGGTCGTGGGTCGCATATCCTATGACCGCCAGGGCCTGGGATGAAACTGGTAGGTCTATGGGTGGTTGTGGGCCGGTGATTCTCCTCTCGAATTAAATTACACCATTTCTTGAGATGTTTTCGTTCTTTTTTTTTTTTTTTGGTTTCCGTGGTGAATTCGAGTTCAGGGACGGCTTCCCCCGGTGTTGCTGTTCATGGTGCCGGTGCTGCTCGTCGTGCTGCTGCTGTCGTAGTTGTGGCACCCACGTTCGTGCCGCTTCATGTTGCTGCGCACACTGAAGGCCTTGCCGCAACCCGGGAACGGGCACTTGAAGGGCTTCTCGCCCGTGTGCGAGTGGCTGTGGATCCGCAGCGAGCTGGGCCGCGAGAAGGCTTTGCTGCACGTCGGGCAGATATACCGGTCCTGGCTCTGGGGAAAGGATGCTGACGCCGAAGGGGCAATGTAGTGATGGTGCTGCCAGGGGTTCCCGGCCGTCGGCGCAAGAGTCATAGACATGGACATCGGAGGCGGAAAAGACTGCAGTGGCACATTAGTCATGTTGTTCGGTCCGAACCGGCTACGATTATGACGTACCTGAGGAAGCGGTCGTTGGTAGTAGAGGCCGGACATTTGCGTCTGCGGTGGCGCCGCGGATTGCATCGGAGGATAGTATGAGGTCATGGCTGGTTGACTCATGTACGCAGGGCCGGGAGCGTACTGGGGCTGGTAGGCTGAAGCCTGGACAGAAACTCGCGGGACGGCGGCGGCAGCGGTCATCTGCCGTGCATCGGCTTCCATCTGAAGCGGTGGCGTTGTCTCAAAGAAGTAGTTTGACCCGTTCGGCACCTGGCTCACCGACCTGGTCGATGGCGAGTTGAAACCTTCAAAGGATGCATCCGAGGACATGGGCGGGCTGGGCGGGAGTCCTGTCCGAATGGTTACCGGGTTGGTGTAATGCGAAGAGTTGGGCCTCGTCTCCGGCTTGGATCCTTGCGCTGGGGTCGAGTCAGTATCTAGGTGTCCCATATCCCACCACGAGCTGCTCATACATTGCTGTTGCTGCTGCTGCTGCGCCTGTTGCTGCTGCTGGGACTGGGGCGACGTTTCCGAAGTCGGCGATCCTTGGTCTGCAAGCCCGAGGAGGTTCGAGATAGAGGGGAGCGAGCACTTTGCCGCCTCATCCATTGGCGGTGAAGGTGGCGGCATGTAGCCATACTGAAGGCTATGTTGAGGTACGTGCGCGTAGTGTGTGACCATTGTGTTTGCCATTGTTGTTAGGGGATAAGCCCAGCTAATGGCGAGGTGTTGTTATATTGGGTTGATGCAAGTGAGTCGTATGTCAAGGGCAAAGGGGACGTTGATATCCAAAGTCGAACGTTGCTGTGGGGGTGCTTGTGGTCTGGATTAAGTACTAAGCATATGCGCTGAGAGAGAAGCTTGTTGACTTTTGGATAATGGGGGTGGGAGAACCGGGGCGTTTTGTACCATCAGATCTCCCGAAGAACATCCTTGGAGAATATGCGGAATGATCAAGTGGAAATCCACACGAAATCCACACGTTGATCCCCGGGACCAAGGCGGCCACCAGTGTTGTCACAAATTGGGTGTGGGTCTGACCGGCGGCCTGGGGGTGTTGTCCCAGACCAGGACCACGGCCCATGGCCGATGTTGATCAGAGGAGACCCCTCCGCCCCTCCATCCGTCATCCCCCAGGGGCCCCTGTCTCGTGCCAGGACCGGCGGTACATGGTACATACATGCGTCCAAGCTTATAACGACTCCTGATATGATGGCTCCGACTCCGGGTGCGCCTGAGCACAATGTCCAGACCCTGTCGCTGCCGCCGGCCGGAAACACCACACACACCGCAAGCGGACCGAGGGCCGCTGGACGGGTCCCGACTGATATGATTGCCATTGATCTGCCGAGTCCAAACGTCGGAGGCTCATGCTGAGCCAAGGCCACCCGACACGTTAAGCCGAACGTTGCCCTATGCGACCCAGGGTTTCTGGAGCGAGAGATTTTCGATCGAGGCACACTGCCCACAATGCTGAAGAATACCCAAGAGTAGGACGGCGCGCACGTTTCTGTGGCGCGAGCTGCATGCTTCCCACGCTAGCTCGAATGGGTGACACACTCTCCTGCATTTTCCTGGGCTGCCGGTTTGCTGGGCTTTTTTGAAGCCAACGGGCCACTTACCCAAAACAAGGGCTACTGCCGGACCCAAAGGTAAGATTAGCAGAGAGGGGTGAGATGGGCAAAATCGGTACGTACCTCCTGACCTGGCAAAACTGTCACGGACGCTTGGGCGTTTTGGGGGTGGAGACCCCTGAGCCAGACACACGGACGCACAAACTTGAGACGAGTATCGACTCCAAGCTCTTGTGCTGAATGACGGCAAGGCCAACAGGGGTGGCATGCATTGGTTTGTGCTGTGACCGGATGGCTGAGTTGATCTTATGCCGTTCATCATGACGGCTTCAAACTCCTCTCTCGAAACGGGCGCCTCGGGGCCATCTGCCGCTCGGGTAGTAATGTACATCGTTTTTCCAGAACTCTGGTGATCTGCTGAGCCGTGCAGTCCATCCCCCGCTCCTTTTTGGCGGGAGATCTAATTGTATTCTGCACGGGGTTGAGGTCGAGTCGACGCGCCATCGCGGTGGTTTGCACCACTTGGACGAGCAGCATGCATCAAGCTGCAAACGCGCGCTCGTGGCAAGCTTCATGTCTGGAAAGTCTTGTCTACGTCCCGGCCAGCCGGCGGCTTCCCCAGCTTGCGTCTTGGGTGACAATCCTCCACCCCATAAACCGAACGTTTCTGTGGTCCACGGCAGATGTTGACGATCGATGGCCGCCCAACAAGAGATCGCTGGAGTGCTGATGATGAGTGGACGTTGGTGGGCCCGCCGTTGCTGGCAGTTGTTTCGTGCATGGCTGGGGGTACGACGTACCGTTACCGTCGCTTAGTAGCTCTACGCCTGCGGAGTCCTTCCGAGAGGGATCTTCACCGGTCCTGTCAACACCAACGTTCACGCTTGTGAAACTTTGGATCTTTTTGCCATGGACATGATGGAGTCGGGCGAACTCGCTAACTAGTTAGTCAGCGTTTACTGATGGCTTGACTCTCCTGGCACGACCGCCGGAAAGGCCTTGGCCCTGACGGTTGGCGAAAGAAAGCTGCCGTGGAAGCTAAGACAAGCTCATGCGCGAGAGGCTCCGTGCTCCAGACCCGTTTCTCGAGAAACATATGGGGGTTCTCGGAAACAAAGGCCCATCGCAAGAGATCACCTCAACTTCGCGATCGAGTGAGGCTCCAGGGGCCCGTTGGATTGTCGACGGGGTTCAGGGGTCCCTGATCATCCCCGGTAGCGAGCCTTAATGTTGACTGGGGCCCAGCCGGAAAGAGTGCAGCCTGTCTGGCCCTGTGTTTGACGTGCGGCAGGGGCCTACGGAAAGATTTCAAGAAATCGGTACGGTTGATGCGCTTGGTACGCTTTGGGCTCCTGGCGAGGCCGGAATGAGAAAGTGGGACAAGCAAATGGCTTCTTGTGCCACATCCGTGCCACATCCGCGGTTCACTCCAAGCCGGCCAGAGCTCAGTCCCAAGGCATAAGGACGGGACGAAATTCCCGAGAGCAGGCAGTCTCAGCAAACCGAAACTAATCCGTCGTCACTCGTGCATGGGTCGACATGCAGGATTTGGGACGACATCCTAGCAGCCTAGTGTAGATGCGGACAATTGCAGTCTCCTGCGTCAAGAAAAGCTTGCCGTAGTTGCTCCATCCCATCTTGTCGTAGCATCCTTTTCCCAAACGGACCAATTGTGAAATGCAACCATAAGCGGTGATCATGCCCGCGCTGAAATACCGAGGCTGGCCGGGTTGCTTGATGTCATCTGGAGTTGGGGAACCAACAAGACGACTACATCCTACCCATGGATCATAGCCGGGCGTTGAGCACTGTGAACCGGAAGGTGGATGATGAACGGAGGCCATGAGTTGGTTAGCACCCTGGGCGCAACGGTGAAGTGAAAATCGAGGATCGTGTTAATCGCGTAGTGGTTATATGAATATTTGAGGTGAGATAAGAAGTAGGTTAAGGCCCGACAAACGGGAAGATTCGGTGCCAACTGAACATAAGCCGACTCGAATTAGGGCAGCGAAGCCCTCAGCACGTAAATTTAATCTGGCTGTGACTGGGATGCTCAGCTGCTCCTTCTGTCTGAGTTTCCAATTACCTAGGATTCAAGCCCCGGTGTTCTGGCAAGAGCCACGTTGGCGACTTCCATTCACAGACGCAATATCGAACTCGATCTCGCTGAATTCCGAATTCGGTTGCCTGCTGTTTCGTTCCCCACTGCAACAAAATGGGGTCGAAAAACCTGCGTATGTGTAACTACCAAGTTACTCGGCACTCGGTCTCCTCGCGTCAGTCCAGTCTCAACTCTGTTGATCACGGCCGGTCTGAATTTGCGTCTGAATGACTCCGGAACCCCGCGATTAGGATTTGGGCCCGGTGCGGACCTGGTACCCGCCCGGTCATGTCAGAGGCCCGCTACACCACTTCGCTTGCCGTTACCGGCTTCTCCGTACTCTCGGCTCTTGAGCAGTGAAGTTCCAGGCCTGGTTGCCGGCCAACTCTGCGGCACTTGCGGCACAGCACCTTGTCTTGGCTTGGCCGAGGAGTTTGGGACGGAAGAGTCAGTCAGTTTGTGGGCTGTGGCTTTGCTTTTTGTTTTGAAGCCGTCGCTCAAGCCACTCGGGTGGCTGGGTGATTGGTGTTGGGTCGTGTGGTCGTCTTCGGTTCACTTTCTCCGCCAACAAGTCGCACATCGCATCGGATCGTCGACGACATGCTCTTTTGGTGCTTCAGTCCCCTGTCCCAGCCACGAGCCAACAGCCAACAAACCGCTCCAACTGCCATTTCCACTAATGTTCCGGAATTTTCGAGACGACCCGTGGAGACCATCCCCCAACCGCTCAGCCGCTTGAGGGCTTCTCCATCGACAGATCATCGAGCCTCCGTCATCCTCGTTCCTCAGTGGGAGACTGCCCCCCGGGGCCCCGGACCTCAGCTTCATCGTTGTGGACGGCACAGAGCGGCTGTACTTCGGGCACTCTTTGATTGCCGTTCATATGACGCATGATATACCCCAGCCTTTTCCCCTCGACGATGGCTGGGCGGTCACCCGCTTGCACGTCTCTGGTTCCAACGTCGTACTCGACTGTCGCGCTCCCCTGCAAGCAATACCGGTTTCCCAAACGGGCATTACCCGCCTCGCGGGCGATCGACGAGGCGTCGGCTTAGCGCCGCTCGCTTAGGTCCTCGAAAGGCTTCAGTACTCCTTCTGGAATAGCGCATGATCGGCGACCGTTTTCATCCTTTTGGGCTCGGGAAATATGCCACGCTGCCGTCGCATGTCATGTCATCAACCTCTAACTACCTTCCCTTTTCGGATATTCCAAGCGTCGTCACGATGGAACCTGCATCGACGTCTCCATCGTCTTCTTCACCTTGCCCCGTCCCCACGCGCTGAAACACGACGGGTGCACTGTCGTCAACAGCGTTTCCGTCCCACGCATTCATTCGGGCCTTCCAAAAGGATTGATCATTGAACACCAACCGCAGTTCCAGTCGGCAAAAATCACCAGAACCCATCGCAACCCCCCGCGCCGTTGTCCCCTGCCGAACCGCAGGCGGGAACAGACGAGCGAGATTGTTGGCGCGCACACATTACCCCCCCCCCCGAATCCCGTCAAACAAAGGTCTCGAAAGTTCCAATTTCGCGAGAGACGGAGCGATGATGTAACCGACAGCGCGTCTGGGCTGGCAGCAAAACTCCCCAATTGGCCCGGTCCGAGGTGGTGAGCAGGGGGGAGGTCCCGGCCCACACCTCGATGCAACGAAAGGCGATCTCCAAGGGGTGGAATAGAGTTTGTGGAATCTGTCGATCAGCGCAGGGGAGATCTCTCATCAAACCAGAAACTTGTTACCATCTCGGCCCTGAGTCAAGTTTCCCCAAGTGCGTCAGGGCACTAAACTCGAGAGACGAACCCGTCGTGTCGTCAAGCGCCGCTCGACTTCCACCCACCTTCAGATGGCAACGGCGGAGACAGATGCAGGGCGATATCTCATACCAGCCCGGTGTCAGATACCGCCGCCCCACTTCAGTCGATGTCCCATTCACTCAGTCTCTCCTGAGCTCGCCGGCTCATGTCCCGCAAGAGGGACCAGAATGAGGCTGTGTCGAGTTCATTTCGGCGACGACTGAACAAGAGAATCTTTCACACAGTGCACGCTATTCGGTACCAGCTCGGCAAGCACATCCGGAGATCAAAAAGTTGGGTGTGCATCCCCGATTCGAACGGGCGGAGCCCGCTACCAGCATCGAGGCTCAGGTAGGGTGTTATTATCGATCCCCGTTCCAAAGCTCTGGCTTACCCAGTGTAACACCGACTCTTCGAGCTTCCTTCTGGGGCTGGCCAAAGCAGTCACTTGCCATTGTGACGCGAAGGGTAACCTATCACGGCGAGCCAACTGTTTCTGGCTCGTCGGTGGCGTTGTCCCCGCGGAACCAAAGTCTCTATGCTCATATACGCAGCACGTTTGGACGAGTATTACATGGAGCCTCAAGAATACGGTGCATCAAGTGCATAGTGCTGCAGTAGTCTATTGACGGGGTGGGGGGGGTTCTGAGCCCATGAGTGGCGAGGGAGTGTGTGTACATCCGTACATGGGCTCGTCTCGACCATCGGCCCATACGAAGGGATACCACCGTTTCTTCGGCAGGTTTCCGAGAGGACGCCGGCTTCAGCCCCGTCTTGGGCTATATTGATTTCGATTTTGACAGGCTCTGACGGAAAGTAACTTCTTGGCTCGCATAAGATCTCGACGATCGGAGCAGCAAACACTCGATATCTACAAAGTACCAAAACCCCTCCATCGACAAGATATTGCTGCTTCAGGTATACACGCTTGGTCGTCACAAGCGTTAGGCCTCACAACGCCGCCAACCCGTCTCTCCTCGGGTATCGAGCATAAAATTTGTGCTATACATGGTGCGCTGGCAGAGAACAAGCCTCTCATTCTCGACTTCTCGAAGACAGCTCCCACTGCGGGGGCATGGGATGGTTACCAGTTTGTCGTGGCAGCCTCCCAATAGCGTGTCATTGGTATCATAGACGAGTAAAGTTCTCGTCATCGGCCATCGAGAGCGATTCGTGATCTTCCGATTGCCTGGAGCACTCTGCCGGTGCCCGTAGCTGTCACCTGCCTTGCTACCCTGCGGCGCCTACTGCTGCACACCCAGCAACACATCTGACCATTCATTTAGATCGACGATGGAACCGACTGGTTCAAAAATAAAGGTAAGATGTGCAGAGAGTGCAACCAATCCGTTGGCTCGCCGCACTCATACTGCCGGAAGCTCGACCGGGTCTGGAGACCATCGCCCTCGGGTTCACTGCCCATCCGAAACCAGAGTCCGCGACACCCTGTGGCAAACGATAGGATTTACCCCTCGTTGAAGAAGTGAGACCACATCCTTTCCCCTTGATCCCTGGGGAGCTTAGTGGGTTGGTGTTGAGCAAGGGTGAAAGGGCGGTGTCGGCGGCACCTGAGCCCGGTACTGATCCAGCCCTGCCCAAACCTCGCAGCCCCCGAACTCATCGGTGCTTCACACGGCTCGGGATGATCATCCCACGCTGAGGTGACAACTCAAGGTTGCATTCTGTCGGTGTCGATCGCCGTGTTGGGTGAGGCATCATATGAAGGACCCAACACCGCCAGCCACGGCCCACGTCAACTCGGCAATCATTTCCTCTTGGGCAGAGCCTGGTAGGATTCCTGGACACAGTTCCCTTCTGCCGTTGTCGAATCGGATTGTCGAGCGGTTGAGTGCCTCAGACGGTGTCCTTGGGACCGGAGAACAACAATCGCCGACCGAGCCCAATCACCACGTTCCGGATTCGCAAACGCGTCTTTCTGAACCACTTTCTTCTTTTCCCCGATTACCCCACGCCTGGACAAGTAGCCCGTTAAAGCATGTTCCTGGTGCTGGAATGAAAAAAAAGCCCTCTCCCCAGTCACCTAGCATGGCAGGTTGATACGGGAGAAGTTCCGGAGAAAGCTCCCCGGAGAAACGTACCAACCAGCGTCGGGAGTTTTGAAGCAAATGCGAAGTCGTCGGAGCTTTTTTTGCATCAGATTGAGATTCCCCAGCAATGCTTCCAGATTTCATGACCCCATACCCCGGCACTCGATCCGCGCGTTTATCGCCACCCCCTGCCACCCAGTTGACGGTTTCCCTCCTAACGGCGCAATGAAACTCCCACGCTGGCCTTAAGAGCCACAATGTACATTTCCAATTGTATAAAAAAAAAAAAAAAAAAGGCAATGGCTCGTCCCTAAGCAGCTTCCGGTGCTCCCAACTGACACCGTCTTTGTGTTGATGTTGTGAGGCTCCTGAAATGGCCACAAGCCCCAGTTCTTGCTTTTTTCCATTACTTCGTTTTTATTGGACAATTTTCCTCGCCGTTCTCCGACCGTTGCAAGAAATGTCTCACCTTATTTTGGGACCCCCTGGGCCGCGCCGGTAAGCGAGTCCCAAAGCATGCCCCCTGTTCACCAGCCTCCTAACGGTTCCCAGATGCCTCGACTCGGTGGGTGGTGTTGGTTGAACCCAGGCTTCCAGACTGAATACACACAGCACAGGAAGAGCCCGCAAAACAAAGGCATCTGTTAAATCAGCTTCGTCCTTGAGTGCCCCGGATGATAAAATATTAGACGTTGACAACTCGATCATCTCGCCCAGCGACGATGGCTGGCCTGTTTTTGGCCTCTGCCTTAGCGCCAAAGAAAATATACTAATACCGACACAATCGTCCGATGACTGCAGGGTGAACCGCCGGGGGGTTCCCCGCGCCGATGAGAGCGAAGCAAGGGCCGCAAGCTGCCAGAGCTGTTCAAGCCACACGTCACACAACCCTTGACTTCCGGGGCAGCCTTTTCTCGACAAAGCAAGCGGCCCGCCAATGACCAGCAACCGGCTGCAACCCCCCGCGTCAAGACGTGCCCTTGGAGAAGCAGAACATGAGCTCGGACTCGATGAGTCTCGCAAATGGTACCCTTACGACTTGGACCCTGTTGGCGCCGCACAATATATTCCAAGGCTGACTGCATGCAGCAACGGACCGGGTCGATCACAGGACGGCAGCGATCGTCGATTCCCATCTTTCTTACTCATGCTACTGTAACGCGGAAATGTTGGACAAAGGCAGCTCGGAGAAAATCCGATCTGGCCTTCCGCTCTGCGTCCCTGTGGCTTGCTGAAAGTTCCACTACTGCAGGATAGAACGGGGCTCCTGCAGCTTGCCCTCAGAAACCTTGTTTCTTCTGTCTCATACTTTGGGTGGCGCGTCGTGGCAGCACTCGGAAGGCCTTCCCCCCCACCGGCCTTCTCTCCGGGACCCGCCTTCCAACATCAGCCGTCACATCACCCGTCAAAGTTTGTTCGGCCATGTCCGTCCTTGAGCGGATAGCACCCGTTCACACTGCGCGTGGTATCGACTGCGTACACTCGCTGTGGGCCCATCACCATACCAGGGAAGGTGGTCACCGTCTGCGTGAGTACATACCCGTTCAGCTTTCCCAACCCGAGATGGAGAAACCATGGAAGCGGGGGAGCGGAAGGGGGCGGCAGATCGCCACAGGGCCGAGGGCGGCTTCATTAGTGCAGAGAGCTGGGTCTGGCCGAGGATCGCAGCAGGGACATGCCTTTCTGACGATGCAATCGTGAGTGCGTGGCTGAGAGGCACGATGGCGACTGGCCAGACCCCTTTTACAGGCCCGCGTCGTCAAGTGTGTTTGTGCTCTCCTTGTGTGTCCAACCCCCCCCCCTTTCGCTTGCCCGCTTGGCTTCTCGCTTCCTACCCCGCGGCGCCACGGACACACACGCCCTATGCACGTCTCCCAGAGCGGCCGATCCGGAGGCATTGCTGGGTACACACCACCAACGACCGCGAAGCTCCCGTGGCCCGGGTCGAAGCAACCCGCAGGTTTTCTGACAAGTGACCTGTGGGAGCAGGAAGACGCGATGTGTAGCACGGCAGTAGCGCCGTGTCCCGCCCCCAACTTTGTCAGATATGACAGGCCAGGCCAGACGGAATAGTTGCCGCTGTCGTTTGAACGGGGAGTCAAGCCGAGCCGGCGAGGTTCAACAGAAGCACAGCACTGAGCAGTGGTGCTCAGTGGGTGCTCGTCCTCGTCCTCGTCCTTGTTCTCGCTCTCTGTCTGCCTCAGCCCGCGGAGTAACCCAGAGACACATTGACTGCGTACAGGCACAGCTCCATCCAACCCCCCAACACCATTCATTGCCCTAGGTATCTCATGTAGATATGTCCAGAGCATAACATAACTTGCTCATACCCCAAATCCACCCACCCATCCATCTATCCACCCATACCCCCTCGCAAGTGGAGAAGTGAAGAGAAAAGCCTGGTACAGTACCACGCCAAATCCCCCCCCAAAAGCAATAAGCAATACACGCTCCACCACCATGCAGAACTCACAAAACGATGTGCCGAGCTCCCCAGCCCGGCAACCCAGCAGCCCAGCACTCCATGGCTAGCCAGACCCAAGATGCCATGGATATCCGGGGCCGCTGCCCCAGCACCAGGGCAATTCCCCGGCCCGGAAAGCAGGCCATGGTAACCTCCCCTTTCTTCCCCCCCCCCCCCCCCCCCCCCCCCGTCCCGTCCCATCACCTCGAGTCAGACGAGAGCGTGAGGGAAAAGAAAAAAAAGCAATTCCAAATCCAAAACCGCCTCCTCTTTTATGAGCAGATCTCCGGAGGCACGGAGCCTGAGCCGCTGGGCTGGGGTCCCGGTTTACAGGTGCCAAAAGCCAAACGGCGGCAGCGTGATAGTGCTCATACAGCCGCAGCCGGTCATGCTTTTTTCAGGAAGTGAAGGATTATCCCCTCACTGCCCCCCTTTCTTGTGAAATGCCCAAGAGCGGCGGCGATCGACAAATCCATCGAAAGAAAAAACAATACCAGCAGAGAGGGACTGCGGGGAGAGATGGAGCGTTAATCTAAATTAACTAGGTAAGCTGAGGAGAGCGAACACTCCTCGCCATATAGACAAACACGACGAAACAAAACAAACCCAAATCCATCCAGACCATCCCCCAGAAACGCCTCGTGTCCAAATGCTCCCGTCTGCCCATCCGTCTTTCGTACGACAAATGAAAGTGTGTAGGCTGGGGGGATCCCCCAGCCCAGAAGCGGCTATAATGATGATGGGAATGATGGATCTCCACACCCCTGAACACCGTTACAGCCCAAGTCGTAGTCATGACCATGAGGGCATCATCGCCCTGCGTTCCCTCCCCCCCATACCACGGTTCCGCTAACTGCCAACGCGTCGGCCGACCGGCCGTCCTCCGCTGCCCATCCCGACAAAGGGAAAATAAACTCAAAAAAATAAACGAGCGGCCCCAAACAAAACAATGGGTATCATCACCAGACTGATCCTCCTATACGCAACACACACAACATGTACCTCTCAGTCTCCATCCCCCCTACCCCCGCCACACGTAAGTTATGCATGCCATAAATGCGAGGGAGGTATGCTTAGGCACTCCCCCTCTCACCCTTCCCAAATGATAGTCCCGCCAACGCAACAATCGGCTTGCGCCGCACCAGAAACGGGCTTGGCATGTCGTCCCGCTCCGGGTCCCAGATGGCTGGGGAGTCCGAGAAGGCCACGCCGCGGTTTGCTGCCGCCGCGTGTTCCCTAAACGCACGCACGGGACTAACGGTGTGCTCGCTGGCAAACACGGCGCTCATGGGCCTCCCACCGGCGCGCGCCTGCTGTAACTCGACGAGTGTGCGCCCGCGAATGTTGTTCTTCCCCCCGGCGGTGGGGAGTTTATTAAGGACCGGGGGTTGGTTAGTTCCAGATGGTCCTTGGTCGCCCCCGTCCTTGCTGTTGAGGTTGCTCCCCCTGGAGGGTTTGCGGCTGAGGGGCACCGATGGACCACTGCCGTCGCTGTTGCTGCTGCCGCTGCTGGCGTTGCTGTTTGTTTTCAGGTTGGCGGCCGACGGGATCTTGCTGAGGCGGCGGCTCGGGCTGTTGCTACGGTCGTGCAGCGCGCCGTTGCTTCCCATGTTTCTAACAGCGGTTTGCAAATCGGGCGTCGAGGCCGCGACGGGGATGGTCTTGGCCTGGTGGGCCGCCTGGAGGGCCGCCTGCGATTGCTTAGATTGCAAGCGGTGCGTGGGCATCGACTTTTGGGCATGTAATTGAGGGCGGCCCTTGGAAGTGAAGGGGTTCTTGCTCGACTTGATCATCCGCGTCGGCGAAGGAACTTGAATGTCGTCGTCTAACTCCGAGTCCGAGTCCTGGGAGGGTTCCCAGCGTGCTTCACCTGCCATCTGGTTGGCGGCGAAGATGTTGCCTGGGTTGAGCATCGGCGGCTTAGTGCCGACGTTACGGCGAGGCGAGAGCGACAGAGAGGCAATCGTGATAGGTGAAGGCGAGTTCATCTCGATATCCATCGGCGTGCCGGCGGGTGCCATGGCAAACATTGTCTGAGCCCGGGCAAAAGGTGTGCGGGCGCCCTTCTTGAGCGGGTGCATCGACGTATCGGGAGACTCTACAGAGATCTCCGACATGTCCGTCGCCGAGGAATGCTCGCCCTCGTTGCTCCCTATTGATGAATGCGGGTAATCGGACTTGGAGCTCGAGGACCGGAGGTCGTGGCGGTTGTCCTCATCCTTCCTGCTCTGTAGCTCTACTTCTACCCGTAGCTGAACCTCGTGGTCAAACTTCCGCTGCAGCTGCTCAATCTCTTGTCCGACCAACCGGTCAATTTCCAGCCGGGCCTTGACCTCCCATTCCCTCCGAAGAGACGAGTCGATCTCGTGGCGCATCGAAGCCTTGTCTTGGTCGAGTGTCGTGATCTTCTGCTCGAGCTCCCGGATGCGCCTGTTAAGCGATTCCTCTTTGGTCTTGAGCGACTTGCTGAACTCGTTTATTTCCTTTTCCTTGCGCATCAACCGCACCACCGGTAGATTCAGCAACATGGCGGTATCCGGCCTCCTGTCTGGGTTAACCCGCAAGCAGTCCTTGATAATGGCAAAGAGCTCCGGCGAGTAGATGGCTGGCAGGGGGGCAATCTTGCCCTCTTTGATCTTCTGGACGAGCTGGAAATGGGTTTTGGCGTTGAATGGCGGTTCTCGTGTGCAAAGTTCGTACATGATGCAGCCCAATGACCAGATGTCGGATTTGAGCGTGTACTTCTCGCCGGCACAGATCTCCGGTGACATGTAAAAAGGCGTGCCTACGTATGTCGACGCAAAATCGTGGGACTGCATCACCTTGGAGAGACCGAAATCGCCCAGCTTTACCGAGTTCTCGTCGCCGAGGAACACTGTAACGGTCAGTTCCGGATGGTCGAACACATTATCCAAGCAACGAATACGTACCGTTTTCGGGCTTGAGATCGCGGTGCAAGATAGTCATCCCCCCTGATGGCGGCTTTGGCCTCGCGGTTGATCCTAGCCCTAACACAGCCTTCCCCACCGCGGGCGGGTCGACGCCATAGTGGCAGCGGTACAGCGCCGTGACGAGCTGAGAGAAGATGCTCCAGACAAAGGACTCCTCCGCATATTGGTTCTTGTCTGACAGGTTTCGGATAACCCGCCCCAGGTCCCCGTTGCCACAGTATTCCATGTAGAGATGTAGGTCCTGGCTGACTTTGAGGTGTTCGCGGTGGTAGTAGCCGACGATGTTTGGGTGACGGAGGGTCGAGAGGATTTGGAATTCGGCATGGAGCTGCTCGCGCTCCTTCTGGGACATTTTGAGGTAGCTGATCTCTTTCCGGCAGAGGACCATGCCGTCGACCCGGCGACGGACTTTTCGAATGACCCCGAACGAGCCATGGCCTAGTCATGTCCTGTCAGTCTTGGGTGACGCCCACGACGGTACACGCCAAGAAGAGAAACACATACCAATCTTTTCCAACACTTCGTACTTGTCGCTTTCCGACATGATGGGCAACCTCGAAGTGTAGTAGGGGGAGTTGGTGTTCAATGTCAAATGGCGCACTCCATAAGCAAACGTTGATGGATTGGCAAACGGGCAAACGGTGTTGCTGCTAGGTTAGTATCTCTCCCACGAGGCTGCTTGTTGAAAAGAAAGTGCAGTTGAAGAAAGGAGCAAATCTTTAAATTGGGCTCTAAATTGGGTGCGTTGTTCCTTCCTGCCGTTTCGGCGAAGCCTGACATCCCCAGTCAACAAACCCGTCGCTGCCTAGGCAACCGTCCTAATCGGGCGAACAACGAACCCAAAAAAGCAGGGGTATTTCCTCAATCGGGAAGCGGCTCGGGATGAAGCGGGAAACCACGACCCTGAGTGTTACCCCAACCCTAATGCTCCTGGAATGCAGCTCTGGTTCCATTGACTGGAACCAGCAAACCCATGCACGCTGCACTTGATTTTGACGATTTTGACAATTCAGCAACCCAGCCACAACACCACGCATCCACTTTGCGACCCTCCACACATTTTACATTTTCGCATCTAGAGCAAAACAAAGCTTTCAGATTCTCACAGGCGTCAAGAATCAAAACAATCAATACCCGGCATTGATAGTATTTGCACTATCTGCACTATTTGCATCATTTAATGTCATTGGACATGGTATGTCAGGTGCTGTGCATTATTATCTCTTGGTGGTGGTGATTTGCCAAACCTCTTGAGCCCGAGGATACCGCCTGTGCCTCTTGCGGATGTTAACGACTCTCTTGACATGGTTGCGATTCACCCGGTCCAATTGGTACGCCCGCTGCTTTTCGTCTGTGATCTTTTCTGCCGCCTTCTTCTGCAGCTTGAAGGTCTTATTCTCTCGTTCCAGCTCGGCCAGCTCAGCCTGTTTTTGCTGTCGTGCCTTCTGGTCGAAGCAGCGATAATCGAGTTTCAGCTGTTCCTCCAGAGAAGCCCGGAAACGCTCTACCAATTTTCGCGGTGGTAACGTCTGCTGCGCTCCGCTTTCCTCGTCTTGCCCTTCGCCCCTAGGCCCCGTTTGGGGGGGTTGCCCAAGCCTCTCACTTCCAAATTGCTAGGAGAGAGGCGTTAGCCATGCTGCTCTGCTTACTTGCAAATACGGTCACATACTATCTCGGCATGCTGCTCATTTACGTTTGGAGCAGGTTGAAGAGGCCGGACCGGCTCACCGGGCCAATGTCGAGAATGCGGCAGCAGCACCGGTGTGGATACTGGTGCGGGCGGGTGCAGCAAGAGGTGGGGATGCCACGCCGCGTCGGGATACCCTGGTGGCGGTATGCGCGGGCCCGTTGAAACAACCGGTTGTTGTAGTAGGTAAGGATGATGTTGCTGGACCTGGATTGGCGACCACGGGAAGAAAACCGAGTTTAATGGTGGCAGCTGTGGGAGCCTATTGTTGTTGTTGGTCGGTGCCGGAATCGACCGCGGCTCGAGCGGTGGCAGGGCAAACGAAGGTGGGTTTATCACGTTAACATGATGATGGCCTTGGGCTGCCGACGACAGGTCCAAGGCCGCGGCTGCAATAGCCCGTACGTCAATCGTCGGTGGGGACATGGAATTCAAAGTTTCGCCAAAAAAGTAGGCGGGCTGTAGGCGAAAGCAGGCGACAGCAGGTGAAAGCAGGCAAAAGAGAGGCACAGGGAGGCACAGGGAGGCACAGGGAGTTTGGGGAACAAGCGGCGGGTTCACAAAGCGGGCAGATTCTCTTGGGACAAACTTCGTTGGACCTGGAAGCCTGATGTTTCACCTGACAAGATACACTTGCCCAACTCAGGAAACAGCTTGATTCTGCGCTGTTGCTTTTTGCTTTTGGGGAAAACCGATGAGCGGGTGTCATTGGCTTGGTCTCGGCCCGAGAAGCGGCCCTGAGACTCGAAGTCGGCTCGACCTGAACTGCCGTTGGTCAATGCACGCCAAGTACCTTGCCAAGTCGCTTGAAGATTGATTCATTGTTCGCGCCACCCAGACGGCTCCAACTGGCAGCAAGCCACACTCGCCCACCGCCCAGGCGCGGCTTCCGAACCGGAGGTAGCACTGTGTGATAGACTGTGGGAACAGTAGGAATATCAGGAACGCCACCAAGAGACCATTGCCCCTTCTGATTTTGTAAGTAGTCTGATCCTAACTACCCTTACTTTCTTTAACTAAGGTATTCGTAGTCTTTCAGTTTTTGTTTTCTGCTCCTTCACCGCCTAGAAAAGGCAATAGGCCATGGCGATCCGCAAATTTGAGTTGGAAGCCAAACTCAAGGATGACAATAAGCTCATCCGCACGGGAGTCCTCCGCAACGAACACCCCCTCGACACGTCGGAGGAATTTCTGGACTTCTTGCAGGCGTGTCGGAGGGGTGATTTGAAGAGTTGCCAGGAACTCATCTCAGCCGGTGTCAACATCAACGCCAAGGATAGTTATGATTATACCCCGCTCGTTGTAGTGAGTAGCCAGCCACTCGTCCTTCAATTCTCACTGTCTTGCAATGAATTCACATTATTAATTGAACATTAGGCAAGTTTATGTGGTCACTATGAGTTGGTCCAGTTACTCCTAGAATCAGGTACGTCCAATTGTATCTTCGTTGGGAACTCAACAGGAACTGGACTGGAATTCGATGCTGACAAACTTCAGGGGCTTTGGCCGACCCAGACTCTTTCGAGCGGGAACGAGCCGTGTACAACGCGCTCAACAACAAAATTCGAAACCTACTTTTATCTTACGACTACTCCAAATCGGCAGACCCCCTGCAGCCATGGTCCTCACACGTCACATCGCTGTTGGTCCGGGATAGCCCCTCAACATCCGACATCACCCTCTCCGCCCCGGCAGAGGACTTCCGCCTCCACAAATTCATCCTCTCGGCTAGATCGCCTTACTTCATGCGCAAGTTTGCTGATGCTCCAGAGACAGTAACCTGGAAGTTACCTCAAGCCATCCCCGTGGAGGCCTTCAGGGTCGTACTCCGGTATTTGTACCTCGGCAATTTACCCCGCGACTTTGTCGGCCCAGGTAGTGCCGTTACCGAGGAGGAAGTTTTCAGGGGAATCGATAAGCTGTGTAAGCAGCTCGAGATCGATAAGCTATGGGAAGCCGTGTTGTCCATCAATGACCGTCGGTTGGCGAGGCAGCGCCAGCAGGATGAAGTCCAGCGCGCCCAGGGCCAAGTGAATAGCTTCTTCAACGATACAGTGCTGAAGCATAAGGTGGAAGTCGACACCCGCCGAGCCGGCGACGTCAAGTGGCCTCATAACAATGCAATATTTGCCGACTGCCTCCTGAGGGCGGACGATCAACCACAAGGCGAAGACGAGAACCACACCGAAACTGCCCCCGACGGATCCGCCATCCCGATCGGTCCGGCAGAGGTAACTACACCGAAAAACGGCGCCTCGCCGAAACCATCCGGCCGTTCGGTGCTTTACCCAGTCCACAAACCATTCCTGATTCGCAGCCCCTACTTCGAGACCATGTTTTCCTCCGATTTCCTCGAAGCTCACGACTCGGACCATCTCCACATCATCAAAGTCGACTGCACTCCCGCCGTCCTCGAAATCATCCTCCGCTTCCTTTACACGGAGAAAACCGACTGCCCGCTCGAGCATGCGCTCGATCTCCTCTACGCGGCCGACATGCTCCTCCTGGAGAAACTCAAAACCAAGGCCGCCGTCACCATCTCCACCCTCGGCAGCGGCAACAGCAACGCGCTCGTCGACCGCACACACAATAGTCATCCGGACATGCCCACCCCCAACGGACAGCCCGTCCCATCAGCCGGGGAAGAAGGACCAGCAGTAGAGATCGAACCGATCAACGTCTACGACGTGATCCGCGCCGCCTGGGACCTCAAGGTCCAGCGCCTGGAGGAGTTTGCGGCTCGGTACCTGGCCGGCCGCCTAGAGGACTACATCGACGAGGCCGAGTTTGCCGACCTGATTCGCGAGAGCGCCGACCGCATCAAAGCTCGCCAGGAGACCGACACCATCGAGTTGCTGGATGACATCCGCTACTATCTCTCGGAGCGCTTCCGGTTCCGGTTTGAGGGCGACGGGATAGAGGAGATGTTGGATGACGGTTCCGATTCCGAGGGCGGTGGGGAGGGGTACCAAGGCGGCGATGTGGATGCAGAAAATGCGAAAGTGGGAGATGGGCGGACCGGTGGCGGATACATTGATGGCGGTGGCGTCAAGACGTTGAACGGGAAGGTGGTCGAGGATGAGTTTGCGTCAGATGCGGTGAACTATGAGATCTTACAGGACAAGATTGAGAGGATGCTGGAGATGTTGAAGTTGGATGCGTGAAGGGGATTCAGATATCAGCATGGTGGAAGATTGTGTACAAGTTGTTTGTCTTGCATAAGCGCTAGAAATACAGAGACAAATACACACACTTCTTTTGGTCGCAGCATACACTCACTGCCTCCAGGAACAGCTGGATCGAGGGAAACCGAAAGATACGGCATCCATACAAATAACATCACAAATTCTATGGGTCGACATGCTTCCTGCTCAAGACATCATGGAACTTAAAAAAAACGACGGCCGCCCTGACGCCTCGTCCCCAAACTCCCACCAAATCCCCTCCCTCAGCAAATTCCTCACGAGCCCCAGAATCTCGCCCAGCCTCTACGCCGGCACAATGGAGTTCTGCCTCCCAAACACGCAGATGCCGCCCCCCTCGGCCTTCTCGTGCACAAACCCGACCTCCTCCAGCGCAAGCCTCCGCAACCCCTTTTCCTCATCACCCTCCTCCGACGAATCCGACGGCGACGACGAGTCGCCCTCACCCAGCAGATAGCGACGGTGCCACGGCCCGACAAACATGCCCTCCGGGTCGGCCTTGTCGCGCACGGCGCAGAAGCGCCGCCAGTCGGCGCCGTACCAGGTCGCAAACTCGCCGGGGGACACCGAGAAGGTCTTGGCCCAGTGCGGGCGGCCGCCCAGGTCGCGCATCAGCCACTCGAAGGCCCGGTAGTAGCGCTCGGTGGCCTCGTGGGGGGGGTCGCGATAGTAGGGCCGGTACATGGTCGCGTTGAGGTACAGCGCGGGGCCGTCGTCCGGCGTGATGTCGAGGAAGGGCCGGTTGTTGCGCGTGGTGCTGTCGGTGTGGACGGTGGTGTCGCTCACGCGCACCTCGACGGGGCTGTGCACCCACAGCCCGTCGGCGCTGAAGGGGATGCGGTGGTCGACGTAGCCCGGGTCGCCGGGCTGGAGGCGGTTGAGCCAGGCGCCGAGGCGTTGGAGGGCTTCGGGGCCTTTGTGGAGGGGGATGGCCCATTCGTTGACGAACTGGCTGTAGAGGCAGTTGAGAAGGAAGGCTTTGTAGCTCTCCTGGCAGCCGCTGACCCGCGTGCTCTCGCCGTTGCGGAAGCCGTAGTTGAGCCCGAAGACAAACCACTCGATCCAGGGCGTGACCCGCGGGAACCACCGCGCCAGCGCCAGCAGGTTCTGGTACACGATATACCCCAGCCGGCTGTCCTGGAAGCTGGTGGGCGGCTGGCTGTGGCGCACCCTCCCGGCCTCGATCTCCTCCTTCTCCACGCGATCCGCCTTCCACACCACCGCGCGTCGCATGTACGGGAACCACCACACGCGCACAAACTCGGCCTGCTTCCACAGCACATCATCCCACCCCTCAAACAACCTCGCATCCGCATCAATCGTCTGGCTCCACGCCAACGAAAACGCCGGCACCGCGCGCAGCGTCACCTCCGTCACCACACCCAGCGCACCCACCGACAACAACGCCGCGCGAAACAGCTCCGGCCGCTCCTCCGCCGAACAGGCCCTCGTCCTCCCATCCGCCATCGTCACCTTCAACGCCACCACGCACTCACTGACCAGCCCATGGCGCAAACTACTCCCGTGGGTGCCCGTCGCAATCGCGCCCGCCACACTCTGCTCATCAATACTGCCAAGATTCGGCAGCGCCAGCCCCCGCCCATCCAGCGCAGCACTCAGATCACGCAGGCGGATGCCCGCCTCCACCGTACACAGCCCCGTAGCCGCATCAACCGCCAGCACGCGGGCGAAGCGGTCGAGGTTGAGCAGCCAGGAGGAGGTGCAGGTCATGTCGGAGGGGGAGTGGCCGGAGCCGACGGTGGTCAGGCGGCGGCGGCAGTGGCGGGCCAGGGTGACGGCGTGCTCGATCTCGCGGAGGGTGTGCGGCTGGATGTAGAGCTCCGGCAGCGAGCTGAAGGTGCGCGCCCACGTGCGGTGGGTGTAGCCGGTGCGGGCGCGGAAGGGGGGCGTGGTGGGGGGAGGTGTGCGCGGTGAGGATGGCGCGCACCGAGGCGGGGAGGCGGGAGAGGTCGTCGTCTTGGGAGGCCATGTTGGATGGTGTTGGAGGGGGGAGGGGGTTGTAAGTTTGGTCTCCTTGGGTGTATCAAGAATGATCGTTCGTTCTAGGTATTTAATCCTTCATGAGAAGAATCCTAATCCTAAACATGAGACGATCCAAAAATCGGCTGATGCTGAATTAGAGCGGCATTGTGGCGTATTGATATCGGAAACGATGCTGAAAAACCTCAACAAAGGCTGGGTGGAACGACTGAGTTCCGAGCGAATGCCGAGCTCGCCGAGCATTTATGTATAGAAGGCGCGATATGTTTATAAATCCTGCCATCTCTTCTGGTGGGGGATGGTGGGGGCATGATGGTGGGGCAGCCCGACAACGGCGATTGATAAGATCGATGCGCTCGTTGTCTGATTGGCTGAGACCTGCGAGATGCCCTGGGAAGGAAACCACATCATGTCGAGCAACGTTGAACGAGAAGTCGGGTACCTTATTTGCCGAAAGGTTGCTCCTACTGGTTATAGGGCATCTGGGACACTCAACGCTCAAGTTTCGCGTTATACATACAAACTCTGGAATCAAACCTGTTCTTGGCATGGAATACCGAACCGCCGACGAGGCTTTCGTTGTCTCACGCTGACTCGTCTGATCGCACCATCACCACAATACCATTTAGAATTAGGAGCTATACGTCTGTGAAAAGCCTTCTGTCTACAGGGAGCTTTCCAGGATGTACATAAAAAAAGCATCATGATGCGCCTTGCACGGCCCTTTGGAGTTGTTGATAGCTGTGTTGACCTGGCAACTCCCATTCAGGGGTTGCAGATGCGATGGCTGAAAAGCCTTCATAGCGCGAAACAACTATTCGAGAATCAAGCTCCTTACCTAAGAGGGTCTATGTGTTTTTACTCAGAAGTGGGTATGGTTTGTTGTAAGGGTGAGAGTCATACGGGAGCAATCCTCAATTTGTATTATGCCATGGCTTAGGGTCTCAAGGACCCTTCAAGCTTGAAACGAAGAAACCAATTTTGATCAAATCCGGTCTAGAAACTGAGATCTTTTTGGAACCGCCAGGTTGCTCATAATGGTTCGATGCCGCGTACCCACTTGTGGTAGATCTTGAAGCCGAATGTTCCTCGTTTATAAGGCGTGCCTTCCTATTCAGGTGAAGAGCTAATCCACGAGGCGCGTGTCTGCGTCGGGGCTGCTCTTGAACTTAAATATTTCTGATTCTGCAGTTCCTTTCCATTTTACTTTATCGCCGCCGTATAATTGATCAGCGTGGCACTTTCGTGCCTACCGACACCGTTTCCTCAACCACACGACGCGTTTCGGCAAACGACGTCGCAGATCCGACAACTACATCATTTCTTCTTCCCATCCTTTATTTGACCCTCCGCATCCGTCACATTCTTTTCTTCGTTCCTCCGTTTCTCATTCAATCTATACCTGAAAGCCATAGTTACCCCTTATCCGTCCTTCATTGGGGCGGTCCTTCATTCTCACGAACAAAAGGAGGTTGGCAACGCGGTATTGGGGGACACGATGTTCTACAGTCATGAAAGTAAGCATTTAGAGGCATGGAAACTCGAAAGGACAGTGTCCTGACATGACTATATAGTTCTCACAAGCCAGGCGTATGGTGTGGCGACCGTCTGGTACGAACACTGGCGCTACAGTCGGATAGGAGGATACTGACAAGCTCTTGCACAGGCTGGTCTCGACGATCGGGCTTAGGTCAACCACCCGCAAGATATCGCGGAAGGCAATCCAGGAAGTAGATGTCCAGAAGGCATGCGAAACTATACTCCAACCCAGCGCCCCCATTGCGTTGCGCCTCCAGGGGAGCCTGCTCTATGGACTCTCCAGGGTCTATTCGCAGCAGTGCCACTATGTCCTCTCGGATGCTGAGAGGGTACAAGCCCACATGAGGGCCTTCTACAGCGCGCTGACTGGGAGCGATAACGCCCTCGACCCTCGCGCCGGAAAATCGAAGTATGTTTTGCAAGGCATCATTCGCTTGGTCCTGAAGCTAATGAACAAAGACGGACGGAGCTGATGCTGGAGGACGATCCGGAGTTCGATCTAAACCCTAACCTGCCTGCCTTCCATTTTGACGATGACGGTAATTTAGTCGTTCCGCAGGGCAGCCAAAGCCAAGCTTCTCGCAAGACCTCTTCTCAACTCTCGCCCCTGCAGCCTGATGGTTCTTTCTCTAGTTCCAACCGCTCAATCCTCGGTGGTTTCGACCTCTCTCAGTCACCATTTGGGGGTGGAATACTTCCAGAGCCATTCGGGACAGGGACAATGACGCCCAACAAGGGGAATGACGGCTTGATGCCACTCGCCGAAGAGGAGCGAGAACTGCAAGCCCTCGATGACTGGGGTTTCGAGATCGACGCTGACGGCAATATCATACCGGCCTCGGATGAACCGCAGTTGCCGCGGCTCCCACACCTAGAAGAACAGGAAGGTGCAGGTTCTACCCAACAAGCCGGGATTGTTCAGTTTGACGACCAAGGCGACGTGATCATGAGCGACCGCGGCCATGTATTTCACTCAGACCCACCTCTTCCGGTGCTGGAGGAGTTGGAGGAGAACCAGGCGCAGAATCAAGAACAGCAGCTGGGACCGGAGGAGCAAGAAGTTGCGGTCGAAGAGGAAGCCAGCTCTGGCAGTGCTCCGGTGCGCGTCCAGCGGAAACGGCGCCGTCCGATCCTGGCACCCGATGATCAAACCAAAATCACACGGCAGGAACTCAAGGCCTGGTCCACGAATTACCTCGCCAACGCCGAGCAGGCAAGCCAGCCGCGCCATAGTGTCACAGCCGCCGAAGCCCGCAAAAACGCGTTCAACCTCGTCTTCGGCCGCGGCATCGCAGGCATCGGTTTCCCGACCGGCATCCCGGGCCTCCCGCATCCCCTGGCACCGCACTTTTCCGGCGAGGGCTTGCAAGCTCGCCTTCTTGGTATTATAATCTCGAACTCTGATGGCGAGGATATTGAAGCCCCTCGCGGCCGCCGCCGTTCAGCCCTGGAAGCCCTCGAGATAGACCAAGACGGCGAGCGCCGCGTCCGCCGGCGGCTTAGCGAGGACGAAGACTCGCAACACGCTCAGCCGCAGCCCGAAGACGACAACATCCTCCTCCTGCAAGGCGACGAAGACCTCCCGCCCGTGGAGATAGGTAGGCGCGCAGAGTCCGCCCTGCCCGACATCCCCTCCGATGTACCCTGGAACCGCCCCTCCTCCCAGATCCCGAGCTCCTCCATCAAGGGAGCAGGGAGCCGACCGCCCAGCCGCCAGGTCAGCGCCAGCCCACTCCACGGGCGCGGCAGCCACCTCATCCCGGGCCCAGAGATTGAGCGCTTCAGCGATGGTCCCCAACCCTTCCTAGGCTCTGATGGTTTCGGATCTGACTTTGCCGCGCTGCACTCCGGCCCAGCCGGCAGCCTCGCCAGCGGCCCTCTCCACCCCGACCAGTTCGTCCTCGGCAGTGGCGGCGGTACCCAAAACACCTCCCAGATGATGCGCACCGCGCTGGATCGCGAGGGGCGCAACTTCCTCGACTATGTCGAATCCGTCGCCCGCGACAAGGGCGTGCCCGACGAGGAGGGAGTCACCAGCAGCAGCAGCAGCCGCAGCCGTGGTGCCGGGAATGCCGGCAACAATGGAAGGCAGTGGGTGGAATTCGAAACCCTCTTCGAGGTAGAGGACCAGAAGCGTGCCGTGGTGGCCCAGGCCTTCTACCACGTCCTATCGCTGGCCACCAAGAACGTTATCAAGGTTAAGCAAGATGGGCAGGGTGGTTTACACCCGTTCGGCACGATCCGGCTTGGGGTGGAGTTGCCCGTTGTGGGTGGTGGCAGTGCAGAGGTGCTGGAGGGGATTGGCGGTGACGACGACGACGAGATGATGTGAGACGTGCACGAGTGGGAGCTTGCGAACCTAGCTAGCGCCCAACTGGCGCCGTTACGATATTGCCTTGCGGAGCAAACGGATGAGGTATGACGGATGGAGGGTATTTCTGGCGTCGGTTCGGTGAGGCGTTGAAATGGGGTCGATGGCGACCTTGCCATTTATCAAGGCCTCAAGACGGACACATACTCCTTCCAAATTTTTGAGATGGGTGTGCTGCGAGCAGCAGCGTAATATCGGCAATGTTAGCACGGAAGATACCACGGGATTCATTTGCGTGGAAGAAGGGGAATATCATTGCTGATAGACAGGCACGGCGCATCGTTAGCTCAAGAGAATCAAGATCATCCTTCATCATTGCATTGCACTCGTTGTTTCTGGTGGACGTACTATCATCACACAAGACCAGAGAACAACTCTTACTATCATGGCCATTATTCATAAACATCGTCATCATCCATGGCACCCTCCCGGTCTTCAAAAACCATGTACTCTGCTTCGGCAGCAGCCTCACCCATGACCTTCTCCCATCCCTCACGAACTGGCCCCAATACCGAGTCGTCAAACGAGAGGGAGGGAAAGGGCGCGGGGAGCGTAAAGATCGAGCCTTCTGCTCTGAAGGCGTTCTGGCCGGCCAGCTGTTCATACTGGAGTCGGTACAAGACCTGAGAAGGCTGGCCGTCGCTTGTGACACCGACAAACGCATCCAGTGCCCGCTCCAAAATCTCCTTGGCATCTGCCGTGGTAAAAGTCGTAAAGTACAAGACGCCTGTTTGTCTTCAGTTAGCCTGGATTTTGCCATACAGTAGGCTGAAAGGTGCATTGAAGAGGAGTACATCAGAATGTCAGAAGTGTTTAGCGTCAACGCCGAAGCTCAGACAATGTAGATAAGTATTCAAAATGGAGATCATCATGTACTCGGGGGGAGGGAATGTTGCTCGGGTGAACTTACTCTGACCAACAGGACATTCCCCGGTCTCGCTGGCATGAGCAGACAGGTAGACCGGGTACTCTGACGCCTTTCCAGCCGCGGTTGACAAAGAACCCGCTGGGAAAGCGACGATTGCGACGGCGGGTCGTGGTGCTCCTTCTAGGGTAGCTTCGAATAATGAGTTCAGCCGTGAGCCTACCACGGCTACCAACCTGCTGATACCCGTTTGATCGCTTGGGTTCTCGTCAGCGCGCACCAGACTCCGTGTCTTTATGGTGTCGCCACTAGTGAGCTGAAGCGTGACCTCGTCCTCAATAGTTTCCATCTTTTCAATGCCAGTTCCGAGCATGTACACGGCGCCACCGACGGCGCCGGCACGACACGCAACCTGTGCAACTTCCGAGAGGCCACCCCACTTGGGGTAGATCGCGGCAAAGCCGGGGCCATAAACACCCATCGACGAGAGATGGCGACGGATGACAGCCAACCCGTCTTTGGTACTGATCTTCCCGTCCAGCGAAAGGGTGAGGGTGACGATGTACGTCTGCAGATCTGCATCCATCTTGAACCCTTGTTGCAAAAAATCAACCAGTGGTGAGTCGGTATACGGCTGCCATAATTCTAGCTGCGGCGGGCTTTCGTAGTCCAGGACGAATTTGAGAAACTTCATCAGAAGACGCTTCGCCTTGGCCGAGACTGCCGTGGTCGAGAAGACTTCCTCGCGGGTAGATGGGATGCGGGTTAAACTCGGTTGCTGGGCTGCGTCCTGGGAGGGCTTGAAAATGTAGAAGGACCCCACAGCAAGGAACTCGACCTGGCGGTAGGCACGCGAGGAGACGAGCTGTGAGAGCAATTCCGAGCGCGCGTGGATGAGCTGTGGCGCAAGGGCCAACGAGTATGCTCGGGACGATAACCCAGTGGAACTATCGCACCGCGCAATAGTCGCAGACTTGAAAAGGCCAGCGGTGCCTGCTGAAACTCGGCCCACCCACGACTCAGCATCTTGAAGACTGAATGCTGCTTCGGGGCCGCCATAGAACTCGTTGGGGTCTATGTGCAGGATCTTCTTGCCGGACCGCGAAAGGGCTCTTCAAGGAGAGAAGAGGCTAAGTCAGTCAGAAGGGCAAACCGAGGACTCCGCAGGTTGTCGCAAACTCACAGCGCAAGCAGTGACTGCTGCAGCCCGGTGCCGCTGATGACGACATCCCAAAGGGTGTCGCTCAGAGACTCCATTTTTACATGGATAAGGCAGACCCCTAACGGGCAGGACCGTCTAGAGCAGTCGAGTCGGATGGAATTTTGGAAAATGATGAAATGGAAAGTGGAAGGAGGATTCCCAGGCAGCGAAAATTTGAATGAAGTCGAAGTCGAGGTGGACCCGCATAGCAAGAGCAGTGGTCGGCAGATATTCGGCCCGCCTGGTGCACGGACCGCCAGTTCTCGCCTAGCAAAAACTTGGAGATCTGCAGGGCTCGCTGGAAATTTCTCTTTTCGAAAATCAGCGCTCGACACACCACCCAATTGCTGCTTTACACGAAGGCGTTGCGGCTGGCGGAGGACCTTTCATTAGGACCTTTAAGTCGGGCGGCAGATCAATCTGTCTCCCTGTATCTCCTGCTCTGGAATTCACCTGTAAGAGCGGGTCGAAAGGTCTAGACACATTCCAATTCGCAAGCTTATGTTTCTTTCAATCCTTGAAGGGTTTTGAGAAGGTGTTGCATCATCGGATTCTGGGCAACTCGTAGATATTGTGACCTAGTTCTCTCCAGTTTCGTCCAGAAGCTTGGGTTGTGATAAGAGGAGCCTTTGCATGTTGTGTTTGAGTGACTACCTAGGAACCGCTGTTCTTGCTGGGCTGTCTGCTGCCACGGGGTGCCGAATGAGCCCCTCTGAATAAAGACTTAGGGCTACCTTAGCTCATGGCTCGGGAGATATTTCATGAGCCTCTGTGTAGTGGCATGGTCAAGCAAGCACGGTGTTGGTATGCCCTCCCAATATAGGTATGCTAGGGTGGGGGCATTGGATGGCAAACCGGTGGTTGACTTCAACTTTTACAGCACAGGCTTTGTCCCCTTGACATAGCAGGTTTCCCAACTCCGAATAAACAAATTGAACTAGATGAAGTCAAGTTGCTGAATGGATTATTAGATTGTTTTCATGTGTAGTTTCATTTCTTCCGACAGTCGCCTGTTGAACCCAGACAAATTCAATGGCCGACATAGGCAGGCTTCCATGGTGGTTCAGGGAGTTTATAGAACCCTCAGGATACAGCTTTGGTCAGGCATGTACCTTCCTAGCTCTCCGAGGGCTCCCCGTCGTCTTCTTCCCTGTGCTGCCCAACTGCCTCGCCGCCTCGAGCCTTTTTGATGCTCAACACTTCGGCAGTGATTTGTTGAGGGCGCCTGGCCGGATTTCAGTATGAGCCGTAAGCCGCCAGACGACGCGTCAAATGAGTAGTCCTCCTCTGGGTATCAGTCGTATTTTGTCCATATTCTCAACCAAACACGGTCCTCACTTCATAGCTACCCTGGACCTCTTTCCACCTCTTCTCCGCAATTGTCGCAAACCCGCGGACCAGCTCCCTCCCAATCGCCGTGCCACCCTGCTTCTCAATGCTCTTAATCCTCGTCTCCCCATCGCTGCAGTCCACCACCATGGTAATCGCTTCTCTGCAGAGAGTCTCCTCCAACCGATCCGGATCTAGAAGCAGCCAATGCCTACCCTCCGCAACGCCCGTTCCCACCTCCCCCAGCTCCTTCTCCTCAAACACCGCAGCGGTACACGCCACCGGCAGACCCTTGACGTTCAACTGCCTCTTCTCCGTCCTCGAGCATACCACCATCTCCCGCTCGGGGTCCCACCTCGCGACAGGCAACGATGTATTCCTCAGCGCCGCCACGACCGCCGCCCAGGCCGCATCGAACGGGTTCCCGTCG